GGGGCCCGCTCCCCCCCCCCGAGCCCCCCCGCCCCCCGCGCGGGGCAAGGGGGCCGCGGGACGGGGGGACGCGGGCGGCATTAATTTGCCGAAATGACTTTTAATGAGCGGTGGCGGGGTGGGGGGGCACCCCCTCCCCCCGCCCGGTGCGGGGCCGCCGCGGCGGAGGCGGTGCCGGTCCCGCGGGGCTGCGCCGGCCGCGGCCTGGAAAGTTTCGCGGCGTTTTTGGGGTGCTTTACCCCCCCGCCACCGCCGCCGCCCACCCCCCGCCCGCGGCCCTGGGGACGGTGCCGGCAGGGCGGGGGCACCTCGGAATGCGGCCGTAGGTTCTCCCCCGCCTGTCCCATACTCCCTCCCCCCCCGTCGGTGACCCTCTTAGGCCGGGCCGGCGGCGGGTGCTTTCGCCGCACAACTTTTTGGGAGGGAGTGGGGGGTGGTTTTGGGGGTGCGGGGAAGCCCTCGGAGTGCCCCCCCCCCGGCCCATAAGCTGCCGGCACGTGGGGCCCCGGGCCGGCCCCCGGAGCAGGGAACGCGGGGCAGGGGCGAGGGGCTGCCCTGGCTACACCTTCGCTCCCCGGCACATGTCGGGGCCGGCGGCTGCCTGAGCCCTGCCGGGGCCGGGCTGGGGTCCCTCGGCCACCCCGCTGTCCCAGGACCTGTTAGCGGGACAGGAGCCACTGGCACCTCAGCCAGGGGAGGGGATCGCCTCAGCAGCCCCTACACGGCAAGGGCTGTGTCTGGCCCCCTCTCATATCCCAGTGGCCAAACTGTCCCTGTGGCCTGGGGTCCCGCTAGGCTGGGGGGGTCTGTGTGAGGTGCTGCTACCCTCCCAGGACTGAAAATGAAAGGATCATTTTTTTCAGGGAAAAGAACGTCTGGTAGTTGTGAAGTGAGTGCACTGGAAGACCCACCAACGCGCTTCACCCCGCACAGGTGAAATAGCTCTGGTTTCTAATGCGGGAGGTGGCACGTTTTGGTCAAATATTCCTTAATGTGTCTTTTAGGTCAAAATTATAATGGCTTTGTACAAATAACCTCAAATGAAATTTGGAAGTGACAGTGACGCTCACCTTAAAGCCTTATACTGTCTGAAGTACATGCAGTTAGTTCTAACTTTGTTACTCATCAACATGCAATGCTGGTTTATTTTAAGGCCTTTCAGTTTTTGAGGATTGGGAGACTTAAAAATAAAATTGACAAAATTAGGGCAATGCACCGTTCCCCTGTAGACAGGTGCTCTCCCCTATGTGCTTGCCTGTACCGGCAGTACTTCATGCTCAGGCCATACCTACCAGGTACCACTGCTGATGGCTCAACTGGAGCACTCGTGCTTTGTATGAAGCTGTCACAACCTGGTGACATTCAACCTTTTGCATGAATTGTTTATAATATATATAAAGATCACAAGTTTTATTAATTGTAAAGCTAAATTATTTACAGAAAGCAATGCAGAATTTATGTACTGGAAATTATTTTGATGTTCAGTATTTTTGTGATGAGTGAATGAATTTGTGTGTAGGGCCTGGTCCTACAGAACTGTGTATACCGTGTTCTCATGGTATGCTGAATAATTGGGAGGTATAGATTTGTTGTAAGACCACACTGAAACTCCAATAGCTTATTCCTGCTGAAAGGCTTCTCTGTGAGAAGTTCTATTGGTTTGTTTGTTGAGTATTCCTGCTGAAGCGAGAATGATATTGTATTGTGAGAAATAAGCTTATTTGTCTTTGTAGTATTGGGACTAAAATAAGACAGAGGTATTTTGTTTAACCTCATATGGAAGGGCAGGTTTTCTGTTCTTTGAATAAGACTTATTTTTTTTTTCTCCCAAGTACAGATGCAAGGTATGTTGTTGTATGTTTAATCTCTACTTTATCTTAGGATCTTGCTTTTGGTATTTTGAGATAATGTTTTTAAAGTACATTTCTGCCATGTTGCAATGTCCTAAAGGGTCCATTTGTTGTTGTATCTGAAGGCCACCTCTTTGCAGCCCTGCTCATCCTGGCAAAACCCAAGCCTGTTTATAAGTACACTGAAATAAGTGTGCGTGACAAACCTCCCTGTGAGGATGTGATAGCAGGACTGGGGCCTGAGACCTTCTGCTCAAATAGGGAAATCCTTGTTCAAAAGACTTTCTAGGTACAGAGCCCATCTTGAACCTTAGGTCAAGAATAGCCATGTTTAGGAAATTACTTTTTTGAAATCTATACGAATGTACTCTTGGCAGTAGTTACAAATTTTCCTGTGTGAGTTCTTTTTTTTTCTTTAGAAGTCCTCTGAAGTTTCTAAAATCCGCAGAGTCTTAAATGTTTGTTGTTTTTTAGGGTTTGGGCTATCTTTGTCAGGTTTTCTCTAAGGTACTATGAATGAATCAGCTGAAATGAAAATTCCTGCTTAAGTTCATTTGGCGTAGGAAAACAAAAAGAACCTGTTCAGTTTGTGAGCAAAGACTTCTTTTTTTCCTCCTCATAGTTATGTTTCCTGCTCTTGATTGTAAATAGTTATGAGTCTGTAAGTTCTCTAGCTGTTGCTATTATTATGAATAATGCTTAAGTTTAATTCTATGTTTATTGTGTTATATTCTAAAACATCATCAGTGTTGCCTAAAACATTCTGCTGCTTTTCTGTTAATATATTGGACGTCCTTATGCAATGTAAACTGCCTTTTGCCAGAGCTGAAGTAATAAGCTTTCTAAAAAGGCAGAATGAGGGCAATATTTCTTCTTTCTTCCTAGGTAGATCTTAACATATGACAAAAAGTAGTCCAAAATACGATTCTAGGTGGTAACTAAAAATACCTTGTAAGTTCTTAATATGTTGAATGCCTTGATCTGTCAGGATACTTGCATGTGTGTTGCAGTACCTGCGCTTCAGAGGCCTTCCTGAGTAAGGACTGTACTCTGGTTTATAAAAGTGTTCTGTACAGGAACTCTTGTAGTTGACTTTGGTTGCTTCCCAGTGTTCTCTGTCTGAATCCGAATGCTTTTACTGACAAAAAGACTCTTCTTTCCACAATTACAGTATTCTTGGTTTGGTAGGTGAGTGTAATAGAGAATTGAGCTGTTAAAAGACTAGAACTAAGCCAAACTTATGGTTAGATCACAGCATAGGGACAGAAGTTACAACTTTGTGGTGTTGATGTTGGTCACAATTCGAAGTGGTACAGCTTCTCTTGATAGAACAAAACATTTCAAAGAGAGGTGTTAGTTGCTATGAAATAGAAAAAAAATAATGTTTTAGATTCATACTTAGAAGTATACTTTTTACTAATACTGACTGAAGAGTTTTGCTATAAAATAGCTCTAAGTGCGTGTCTTTTTGTCATGAATGTTATGGCTTCTGTTCATCTTGGAGTGGATGAAATTCCATGTTTCCAAACATCTTGCACTCCCTGTGTTTGGTCAGTTTCAAGAAGTGGGTCTGACAGTGGCAGGTACTTGTTTCTTGGTCAAGAGGAAATTTGTGCTTGTGGAGAAGCTGAGATTCTTGTAGATCTGTGTTCCACTTCTGGCCCCAAGCTGATGGTTTTGGGAATGCACGGAGATGATTGTACCTTGTCTGTGAGATGTCATGAGCACACCAAGCAATTTAACATGAAATTTAGGCTAGTATTAGCAAATACAAACAACACAGTAAAGACCTCTGTAGTTGTGGATTTTGTTTGGATGCAGTGTGTGAAGCTCTGAGCTCAGTCCTCTTAATTATACATCTTTTAACCACCAGCATATAATTGCCTTGCAATTTACAATGCATTTGGGGATTCCATTGCCTAAAAGGGTCTTACGTACATTGAATGTCAAATTCTGAGCATATGTTTAAGAATGTATCAACCCACATGATTTAAAATACTCATGTATTTTATGAAAATATGTTCAGCACAGCATTTGCACAAAAGTACCGATCTGAGTTTTGAGGCTCTAGTGCTTTGGGCTTTCTATTAGTGAGTAAGCCATTAACTTCCCTGTAGACTGCTCACAATGTCAGCTACCAGATTTCTGTATGGCACAATGCTGGTACTTGGCTATGGTTATAGCCAAGGTCCTCTGAAGTTTGCTGCTACACTGTTTTCCAGCCTCTCTGAAGGACTGTTTAACTGTTTTGGAGGAGGGTATGTGGAGTGTAGAGCTACAGCTGTGCTGTCTTTGGAGCTGATGTGCACTGGAAGGGAGCTGATTATGCCTGTACTGAAAAGCCAGTACTAAAAGCAGTTGGGAACTGGCTTCTTCCAGAAAGTCGTAGTAGGTATTGGCAGTTGGACAGGTGTGTACCTGTGTGTATTGAAATATTTTTTTCTGAAAAAAATTTCTCTTTTTGCAGTCATTGTGCAAACCACCTTCAGTTGACTTAGAGACTACCAGTGGCTGCACTCAGCAGGACAAATAGCTCTGCTCTTAAGTGCTGATGTCTTAGAGTGTGACTTTGCTCTGTGTCCTGCCTGTCCTTGTTATAATGCCTTGCTGGGGTGCTAAGTTTGTTACTCTTCTTCACATGTCCAGATAGGACTTTAGCCAGGGGGAGGAGATTTTATTCCCTCCCTGTCAGCTGCTCAAGAATAAAAAATGGGACAAGGGGAGAAGTGAATGTGTTATAAAGTTACAAATATTAGTGATAACCTCATAAAAAAAATACCCTGCTGGGTCAGATTTGCTTGGATCTAGCCTAATGTTCTGTCTCGAGCAGTAGGAATAACTGATGCTACTTAGGAAGAGGATGAAAGCTCAGACACTTTTTTTGTGCTTTCTTCTCTTTCTCCTCCATCGCCCGTATTTGTTAAATTGGTCATGCTAGCAGGTGCATCACTTATGTTCCCATTGTCTATGAACTTCTCTGTTGCATTTTTGAACCTGATGGTACTGTCTGCTTCCATAGTCTCATGTAACAGCAAGCTCCAGCAGCTCACTACCTTTGAGTAGTAAAAATGAAGAAATACTTCTTTGATATGTTTTGAATCAATCTCTTACTAACTTCATCAGATACCCCTAGCTGCAATATTTTGTGATCTGGTATGACTGCTCTGTATTTACCTTTTTCCCTACCATGATTTTTTAAACCTCAGTCATGTATTGAATCATTTGTCTAGGGCACACACTTTTGGATTCCTTTCTGTTCTTTGCCCTTTTGTTTCTGACTAGCTCAAAATCTTTTGTTTCGAATCAGTTGTTTAAGGAAAATCTAGGTTCCTCAGGAAGCAGCTTCTGGTTTCTTATTTACAGGTTGTGGCTAAAGTTAGTTTGAGCACGTGCAGGCATAATTTTTTTTCTTCTGTTGAACCTTCCTATGTCTTCAATGTGGCATATAAATGCAAAACTGAAAACAGCTTCCAGAAAGTTTTGTATTCTGATATTTTTATAGTGAAGTACAGCTGCTTAAGCATTTGCTTTTTCCAGGGGAAGTCCATGTTTCCGTCATCTCTCACTGAATCCTGTGGGACAAAAATAATTTCTTCCCCACCCACTATTTAGCTAAGTGTAGTTTCAGTTCTCTTCAGTTAAGTGACATGTGCCTATTCCATGCTTGTGCTACTTTTTATGTAGCAGCAAAAAGCTCTGTTAAGAACTCCTGTAAATTGTTAAAAATAAAACACTGCATCAGATGAAATCAGAATGAAGAATTTTAAGTGTCTTTGTTATTTTTATATATATATTTATAAACACACACACACTCTTGTATGGTAAGCCATGGAAGTTAAAAAAAAAAAGAAAAAGCTCTTTTTAGATTAAGTTCAACTTCAGTCTCTGATCCTGGCAGTGTATCCACATAGTGACATGTCTTTTGGGCAGTCTGTTCCAGAATTTACCAATAAAGTTATAATTGCAATTTGGAGAAAATTGCTGTGGTGTTTTTTTTTTTTTTAGTGTAACATTGGTTGGCTACTGTGTTTATTGGCTTCCTTGTTCCTTGCACTATAGTTGCGCTAATTGATTGCTGTCAGGATTTTTAACATGGTTATATTTGCATGAGCTTCTCTTAGTGTATATATAGACCCAAGACCTCATGTTTAGTGTAAATATAGACCCAAAACCTCACCTTCATGTTTGTTGGTTTCCCTGGAGATTATTGTCAGTATTTTTGTGTGAATGTTTCATATGGCATTGTCTTTGTGCCCTGTATCTCTCAGACAAGTGATAAGTGAAATACTATGCCTGCTTTGACACAGTCAAGTTAAATGCAAAATAAGACTTAATTATGAGTTGAATCCCAAAATAAGACCGTGGCCACAAGAATAAATCTAGGATTATAGTGGCTGGGAACTGTGGAGCAGTTTCTTTACAAAAGCTTAATGGAGGTACACAAGGTATGAATTTCTCACTGTTTACTTTGGAACCATCCTGAGGAACTCTTTCTTTGGTCTGTTGCTTGCTAACCTTCAGAAAAGAAATACAGCTGGGTTGTACAAAAGAGGAGAAAGTTAGTGATCCATCAGAAACTCTGCAAAACATGATAGTAGTAGTTCAAAAGAAGGTGATAAACCAGAAGAAAATAGAGGGCAACATGTGGGTCACCCCAGCTGCAAGATACACTTGGTCTTTGAAGTTTTATGTCCAGTCCAGTATGCCACCTAATACAAACTTTGATAAACCAGGAGAAGCAGACTCTCTAGCAAAAGGCTTTCTGTCAGCATTGCGTGTGAGATGCAAGTAAAGACTCATTTGATTACTTTTGCTGGCATAGTAATAGAAGAGTCCATCTCTCAAACATATGGAATACAAACACAGACCACAACTCCTGTATGGGTCATGTTCCCATGGTATTTATGTTTTTCCTTCATGTTGTTGCTAAATAATACTGAAGGGTATGTCAGTATCTGCCTGAGCCAAGGTGACTGAAAAGAATATTTGGTCCTCAACATGCTAAAGAAGAGATTGTTCCTTCTTCCCATTCTATCTTTTTGAAGAGCACAGTCAACAATGAACTTTCTTGTTCTTATGACTGATGTGTTGTAGAAAGTCATACTCCAGTGACTGGTTGGTTTCAAGTATATATATATGTTTATATATATATATGTAGTGTATGTGCTTCTATGCCTTGAGAAAAGCTGGGAAAGGTGATTGGAACCAGACTAGGTGTCTGTGCTTATGTTGCGGCTCTGTAGTGAAAGCAAAGCATGAGGCCCCTGCCTCTGGGGGTGGCATTGAAGGGGAAAATGTGTATCAAGAGGAAATACAAAGTTACCATTATTGTCAAATGATTGTTCAGTCCTTGCAGTAGTTACATTCTGTAGCACCTGTCTCCATTGCTATGCTCTGTACTCTGTACATGTGCATGTATGGCTGTTCCAAGAATTTTAAAATCTTTTAGTACTCTTCTGTCTTTCTGCTTCTACAGCTAAATATATGCTAATGAAGGCCAGATTTATGCTGTTTACTCTATGGGATAGGGTGTTTTGTTTTCCCCTAGTGACTTAAAATTGTTTTTCTAGATCCCCCAGTGCCATAGTGCTTTGTCATTTTCTCATGGTACTTTTTTACAGCAGAAAGTGGAGGCTTGTACCTTTACAAGAGGAAAGTACATCTTTCCTGCAAAGTCTGTATAGGCTTCTTCCTTGAAATTCTGCTCTTGCCATTTTGGGCCTCAGGAACAAGTAATTTCATTGAGGTGGTAATCTGTACATTTGTCACATGCCTCTAATTTATTACATATTTCCTGAATATCACCTCTATGAACATTCCTTTCCTTGGTGTATAAAACATACGAAACTGAACTGAGTATTGAATGAATACAGTGTTCCAAATAGTTCATTCCAATGCTTCAGGGTGACCTTTCTGAATAAAAGCTACCTTTTGCAGGTTAAGCTTAGTGTATCACAGTAGCTGCAGAATGTATGTACTGTTAATTTTTTTGAAACTACTTTGGGATGGTTTGGGGGGTTTTGTTTGGTTTTTTTAAAGGATGATTGCCAAAGACTTCCATAATGTTGGGAACTGAAAAAATACCTTATGGCTACATGGATTTGCACTGTAGGAATCTACTTTAGGGGGAAAACCACCCATCCTCTGGCTGAATTGACATTTCAGCCCTTTTGGCATTGATGGGAGTACTCACCAATACTAATGCCTGCATTTCCCTAAAATAAGTACACTGAGGTAGGATAAACTTTGAAGAACCATGATGACCTCAGGAAGGACTGCATATGGATGCTTGCAGAAATCATAAGCAGCTACAAGATCTGAAGGGCTGGTAATCAGGTGTGGTAAAGAAAGCTTTTCTTAAAAAAAAGGCTTTGTTGCACTGACTGGCAAAATAATTTTGCAGAGCAAAGAGTCTGTGGTGGTTTTGTAAGCAAAGATACCTTGAAGTAAACCCTCTGCAATCAAATGGGTTAATCATCTTTCAGCTTGATTTATGAAAGCAAGTGATCTAATCTGACACTTAACCTTTTTCAACTTGTAGCTTCTAATCACTTTCTGGTAGATGAGTGAAGTTCTGTTAAAGTGATTTAAGTGTGGTGGCAGTAGAATTTTCTTTCCCCCAGTAATTTCTTTCATGTTTTCCAAAGAGCTATGACTACTGATTGAAAACTATTGTGCTGTTGTTTTATTGGATGCTAGCTGAATCACAGGCTTTTGGTGACTACATGTGCCTGTTTACTTACTGTAGTAATATCTGTTTTATTCTGACTGACATTGACCCTTTTGATATTTTCCTTAGACAATCTGCTTCATCTTGGTTCATCATCATTCCAGGATAGTGGTGTCCTTGGGGCTCTCTCTTGACATTGACATGGTACAGAAAATTTAAAATCAGGTATTGTTTTGGGTCCTTCTTTCTGGCCAAAATGAAACACACAACCTAGAACTGAATGTAGTTTTTCTTTCCTTATGTGATTTGTCTCAATATTTTGGTTCCTTTCAGCTGATGTTCACAAGGAATAGAGTCACGTGATGTATGAAGGCAAACACATACACTTCTCTGAGGTTGACAATAAGCCCTTGTGCTCATATAGCCCCAAACTGTGCAAGCAGAGGCGACTTAACGGCTACGCCTTCTGTATCAGACACGTTCTGGAGGACAAGACTGCCCCCTTCAAGCAATGTGAATATGTGGCCAAGTACAACAGCCAACGCTGCACCAACCCCATCCCCAAGTCTGAGGACCGTAGGTGAGTTGTGGTTTCCACTCTGAAAAGTGGGAAGTGGCTGGGACATTTTATTTAAGTTGCTGCCTGGTTTCAGTATGAGGGAGGAGCTGACCTGAGTGAATTGTATTCCAGGATGTTCCTTTGAGGATTTTATTTTAAGACCAGTAAACTTTATTTTATTTTCTGTGGGAGTCAAGTACTCAGTGAGAGGGCAGTAACTTAATCCTAAGGAAGTTTATGGGAGAGTTCACTGCTTTTCTCAAATTCCCTACAAACTGTGGATCAAACCTGCTACACAGTATCAGCAGTTCTAACTCATTTGCTTTGTCACTCACAGTACATGCTCTTAGAAAGGCCTGCTTGTTTAGCCAGCAGTGCCAAAAGCACACTTCCATCTGCTTTTTCAGGACAAACAGTTGAAAATGCTTATCTTCTGGGGAGATCTTTATTCACGGGGAGCAGTGACACATAGGGACAAATCCAGAATTACAATTTGGTGTTGTTGATGTGGTACTGATCTATAGTGTTGTTTTACTGGAATAAAATATTACTTGAGAACAGATGAGCCAGCTGAGAAAGTGCCACATACTCCCTTTCTTCTTTGCTCCCCTTATTTCTCTCCCCATCCCTGTCCAAATGAAGAAGCCCAGAGTGCCCAGGTATTAAATTCCTTGCAAAATATAGTCCTTGAAGTTGTTGAGAGCTGGGAATTAAAAGCAGATTTCCTGAATTGCAGCCCATACTGTAACCACAAGGGCATTCTTCCTTGCACTTTTAAGACTTCCTGAACACCAGTCTCACTGGTGCTGCTTGGGCTGAAATAGCAGAATTTGTCTAATCTTGTCTGCCATCTATAAATGACTTTATTTTTCAGAGCTGTCATTGCAGGTTTTGCCAGTAACACAGTGTTTAACTAATGTATGTGTTAACTATCTGAGGTTTGTTCTATTTGAAATGCTTTTTTAAACCTAAAATATGAACAAAATATGCCAAAAAAAATCAAGCCACTGTTCGCTGACCTTTCACATTATTAGCTGCCATTCACTAACCTTTTGCATTATTAGCAGTGTTCCCACTGTGCCCTACATATAACTTCCTTCTCAGCTCACAGCTCCCTCTCTTGTCTGAAACAACAGTTGGACTGTGCTCTAAATTAACTTGCACTTCACCTGCCATTTCAGCTGAGGAGACTGATGAAGTGAGAAAAAACATGAATGTTTGTCAAAAGCTGTAGGGCAAATGCTCAAATGGCACAAGATGAATAACTTTAAGCTGTAATTTGACAGTCAGTGAGTGTTTCCTTGCTATTGTACAATTGAGGCTCTTTGGAAATAAGCTCACAGAAATGATCATAGAAATTGTTAGCACAAATGGTATGCTGAAATTTCAGATGCAAGAGCTGACTGAGAGTTCCTGTTTACCAGGGGTCATACTGAAAAACAATAGAAGTAATAGGACTTAATGACACTTTTTTACGTCTCATATGTTCCCATGGAATTTGTGATTTTTCTTTACACCTTGAATTGAGTTCACACTTTGTTCTTTTTGATTTTTCTCAACTTAAAGTGAAGTGTGGTCATGACATCTGGTGTATGTTATATTAAAATAATTCAATTGCATGTCGAGTGTCACATTACAGTACTTCAACAGGACAGCAGGTGTCTGAAAGAGAAAATAAACTTTTAATTTCAAATGAGAGGATGTGATAGTTTGAAAGAATATTTTAAAAGACTGTTTCTCGGGGCGGAGTTTAATTTTAACAATAACATTTAATGAATGCTGGTGATAAGACCGTGGCTGTTCTAAACTTTTTTTTTGGCAGGCAAACCTGTATCTTTCTTAGAAGACTTTTTTCACACTCTGTTGAATATAATGATGTTTGCAGTGTCTGAGTTCTCCACTCATAGCTTCTCATTTTCTGTGTACAGAATTACTGTCAGATGGTCATTTTGTCACAATTTTAGACACGTAACCGTACATGATCAGAAACAGTCTGTATGATGCCCTGACAGCTATCTTCTTTTATACTTTTAGAGAGCATTAAAAAAAGTATTTCAAGAAGACGCATGTATTATATGCCAAAATCTTCATAGTCTGTCCACAGATAATTAAGAATTATCACTTGACCCCAGACAAATGAGATGCTACTTGCCACAAAGATGGTTAATATGATGCCAGATTATTAGATTCCTTATTAACCATTAACATTCTACAAATTAAATCTGTTAAGTGTGTGACTTCATTGCCTTACTTGAAAGTCTGATTTTTCTATTCACTATCTTGTGTTTTTAAAGAATATATGTATGTGGAATGATACACACATGGGTTTCATATCTCTGTTTTCTCTGAATACATCTCCTACTTCTTTCTTAACCAGATACACACAAAGATAACAAAGTGCAATTTGATTTCTAAATATAGGTGTCTTGGGTGGCAGTGCAAAAGGTAACCAGATGTATTCTATTACCTTCTGTTCAAACGAGGTGGGGCAGTGTTCTTTATCTCTTCCACAACCTATCCTCCCTCCAGGGGGATATCTTCTGTTAATGGGCCATTGAGTCTCACTGCAGGACTGATAAAATTCCATCATCCCATTGGGAGATGCTCCACCCAGGGGGAGGAGCCAAACATTCCTACCTGGATATAATCTGAGCTTTGGAACACTAGTCCGCCTTTCTCCACTGGATTCCCAAAGGACCAGACCCAACTACACCACCACTGGACCTTCAGAGGAAAACTACACTCTTCTACAAGATCATTGCTTCAACAGAACCACACCTGTCACTCCAGGAGGAGTGCAGCCAGCCACCATTTAATCAGACTGCTACCAACATCCTGACCAACAGGGTGTCAGGTTGTATTGTGACTGTCAATGTTTTTTTTTCTGTATTACTGCATTTTTATTTTAATTTTCCTAGTAAAGAACTGTTATTCCTATCCCCATATCTTTGTCTTAGAGCCCCTTGATTTCAAGATTATAATAATTTGGAGGTGGGAGGGGTTTACATTTTCCATTTTAAGGGAGGTTCCTGCCTTCCTTAGCAGACACCTGTCTTTTCAAACCAGGACAGATTTTGACACCCAATTGAGGCTTGAGGGCATAGAGAAAAAAGGTGATAAAAGGAATAACAGTTCTTGAGTAACCTAATTTTTTCTATAGAGACTTTGTTAGGTGATGTCATGTGGTCTAGCTTACCCTGATTAGGGTGGCACATGGTTGTGGCTATATTTCTCCCATTTGCAGGCCCTTATCTAAACATGGGTCCTATAACTAAGGCTACTATGGCTATTATCCAGTTTGCTTTATGGGTTAGTAAGATGAGGAATTAATGGATTTTTAACTTCCTCTGGAAGGCAGGCATATGGATTCGGAGCTATCACACACTAACTGTATGATTTTGGGGTTACTTTAATAATGGTACCTCCTGTGAGGAAATCACAATAGGGGAAATTTTCTCCCAACCCTTCACCTAGCTCTTTGGGTCTACCCCACCAGTTTTTGAAGGGTTCAAATCTTCTTTAAATGCTGATGATCTCATACAGTGGCTGGTGTTGCTGATATGCCTGTTCTATTTAGCATTCAGAAATAAGGGGAGATTGACTTGGATAACCACCCTGATACCTACTCCAGAGAATAGGGATGCTCCCACAGAGCCTGACCCTGCCCCACAGCCCACCTCAGAAATGAACCACCTGGAGTGGGTGGAGGTTCTGGTGAGGGAGATATGCAAGATGGGCCAGTGTGCCACATGTGCCACAATCAAGCAGGCCAAGTGGTTGAAGTCCCTGTGGTATGGTGGGCGTTGGTCCAAATATAAGTATGGGGAGGCCTGGCAGATTGACTACGTCACACTGCCTCAAATCCACCAAGGCAAGTGCTGTGTGCTGACCACCACTGAATGGTTGAAGACCTACCCTGTGCCTCATGCTGCTGCTTTGAACACCATCTTGAGCATGGAAAAGCAAGACTTGTGGAGACATGGCACCCCTCAGAGAACTGAGTCGGGCACCAGGATACATTTCAACAACAGCCTTATGAACACCTGGGCCAGGCAACGAGGTATTGAATGGACATATCGTATCCCTTCTCATGCACTAGCTGCCAGGAAAGTTGAACGATGCAACAGATTTCATAAGACTACCCTGAAGGCACTTGATGGGAGGACCTTCAGAAATTGGGAAATTAACTTAGCAAAGGTCACCTGGATGGTCAACGTGTGAGGGTCCATCAATCGAGCTGCTCCTGCCCAGTCTGAACCCTTACACATAGTGGATGGAGATAAAGTCCCTGTGGTACACATGAAAGGTATGTTAGGAAAGACTGGATTAGTCCCACCTCAGGCAAAGGCAGACTCATCTGTGGGATTGTTTTTGCTCAAGGACCTGGTTGCACTTGGTGGGTAATGCAAAAAGATGGAGAAACCTGTTGTGTACCACAGGGAAACCTCATCTTAAGTGGGAACTATGTGTAGGGTTTCATTGTGTATAAAGCAGGGTTTAAAGAGAGTATTGATTTGGGTATGATGCAGATAGTAATAGAGTGAGGGGTGGATAATGTCTTAGGTTGCAATGCAAGATTTAACCAAAAGTATCTATTCTATCACCTTCTGTTAAAACCAGGTGGGGCAGTGTTCTTTATCTCTTCCATGACCTATCCCTCATAACTCCAGGGGGATCTCTTCTGTTAGTGGGCCATTGAGTCTCACTGCAGGACTGATAAAATTCCATCATCCCATTGGGAGATGCTCCACCCAGGGGGAGGAGCCAAACATTCCTACCTGGATATAATCTGAGATTTGGAACATCACAGGCAGCCTTTCTCCACTGGATTCCCGAAGGACCAGACCCAACTACACCACCACTGGACCTTCAGAGGAAAACTACACCCTTTTACAGGTTCACTGTTATAACAGAACCACACCTGTCACTTCAGGAGGACTGCAGCCAGCCACCATTTAATCAGACTGCTACCAACATCCTGACCAACAGGGTGTCAGGTTGTATTGTGACTCTGTCAATGTTTTTTTTCTGTATTACTGCATTTTTATTTTAATTTTCCTAGTAAAGAACTGTTATTTCTATCCCCATATCTTTGTCTTAGAGCCCCTTGATTTCAAGATTATAATAATTTGGAGGTGGGAGGGGTTTACATTTTCCATTTTAAGGGAGGTTCCTGCCTTCCTTAGCAGACACCTGTCTTTTCAAACCAAGACAATAGGATTACTACAATTTAGTTGGGTTAAACACTATTTTGTCTCTTAATTTTCTTAACTTAAGAGAATCTTTAAATAATTCGTTAATATACAAGCTGCTCCCTAGTTCATTTGGATCTTCTTTTAAGTGATGGAAATTGATACCATACTGGAGTGCACTAAGAAGCAGAATGCATTTGTAGGTGGAATGTAGGTGGAAAACCTCACTGTCTGAATTTCTGCTTTCCCAGTGGATGCAGGAAACTGTCCAGCTGAAGTCTTCAGCACCCATCACATTTTGTGTGCTTTGTGTTATAATTTCAATGGCTATCAACCTACCATATTTGTGGACTTCATTTAACCTTACCTGCACAGAATAAGTGCCTTTGGCACTGAATGAGGAAGGGGAAAAAACCTGTATTACATACCTACTGTGATACTGTCAGCTGAGTGTAACTCACAGACAGGTTATAGAAGTGACAAACTGAGCCTCTAAGACAGGCTTTCAGAACTGGCTCTTGTAGGGCCAGCTTGACCCTAATGGGTTTCATGCTCAGAGCTATGTGAAAAGCACTGTGCTACTTGCAGGTTCAATTCCTGTCTTCGCAGTTATCTGACTTCCATGGAGCTTGAACTACTAGTCCAGATTCTGCAGCACTGTGTGAAGTCAGAGCCAGTTTAGGCCAGGGCCAACTAAAAAGCCATCCTGCAATGTGCAGAGTGGGGAAGTGTGGGTGCATGCTCCCCTGGCTGTGTGCAGGGCTAGCCAGAGCCTGACAGGGTCAGGGCTGAAGTGGTATGCCTAACCAAAACTGCCTGTGTGCAGTCTTCTCTACCCAGAGAAGACTTAACTGCTCTTCCTGGTTTCTTCTTGCTCCTGTTTGTCCAAGGTGTAACAGCCTTGGTTATACTGGAAGCTGGGAGTTGACAGAGCCTAAAGCACAGAGCCAAGTCAGTGTGTACTGGAATCTCAATATTGTAGCCTGGCGTCTGTGCGTTTGTATCCAGAGGAGCCAGTTGGCTCTCAATGATGCAGTATGGTCAGCTGTAAGAGCCAAAGCTTTATTCTCTGACATATAAAAAGGATTCTGCTAAATGAACAAGACAAACTCTTTTAGCAAGCTTATTAGCTTTCCACAGACTTACCTTTTCTATGTCTTTTCTTACTGTTTTTGCAATGAAAACAGGCTATGCTGTTCTACCTCCTCACATCAGCACAAGCCCAGGATGACAATAATTTAAGTTCTGAACAATATAAGGGAAGCATTTGTGTTAAGCAAAACACACTTTTTATTGGTTTAAGAGGGAAAATAATTCCCTTGTGTTTGTTTAGTGTGTTTATTGTTTTTTTTCTTGTGTCGTACTAAAAATGCTGTTGTAACTGTTCAAACAAAATATTTTAAAAGGGCTTAATTTTAAATATGGAAATAGTGCTTGTTGACTTTAAGGGAAGCTTTATTGAGCCCTCATGATATAATTTTATTTTTAGAAGTGCATCTCTCAGTATGAATTTACAGTATTCCCATGTGTTCTAATAAGGACCGCACAAGTTGTTGGCTTTTAGCTTGCCTCCTAAATAAAATAAAAATAAAATAAATATATCTAAATAGGTTTATTTATTACTTACAGCATAACATAATGAAGAAAGTATTTAGGCAATAATAAGTAGCAGTGCTTTACAGCCTTTTCTGATTTGTGAAACCGTAGGAGTGTGGGTCTCTCAAGAAGCTACATATATGGAGACCATTAAAGAGCATATATGAATTTGCTTTCTCTTTTTTCCTTTTTAAGGACCTTTATGCTGTTCACACACTGTTTCTTTAGAAATGGGTTGACAAGTTGAAAGTGACTAAACACAAGTGCTAAACCTTTTTGGGGGTTGTTTTGGGCTTTTCCTGACATTTTTTACTCCATGAAGACCAGATATAATGTAATTTTTGCCTATTTTTTCAAGAAAAATTACTATTCTCAGATGCATAGCAATCAGATTTCAAAGAATACCTTCATGGGCATTTCATTATCTTGTCCATAATTACCTTGATGCAGACATCACTCTTTCGTTGTATCTTTGGTCATCTATAACCTGTAAGTTATAGATGGGATTCTGCAAGAGCAAATTTTGATTTTTGGTGGGTTCTACAGAGGGAGGAGTGCCTGCCTGTGGCATCCAGGAAAAGGATCACATCATGGTTCCTAAATTTCTGTCACATGCTGGTTCCAATCAAACAAAAGTTAATTGCTTACTTTTTAGTATGTTATCTGTGGCATAAATTGTAATTATTTTTACTTTTGTAAAAGATTTTCAAAGACCTTTATGCTTTCTTTTTGTTTTAATAGCATGACTTTGAAAGTTTTTCATATTAGAAGAACTTAAAATCCATGCTTGTGGATTGTATGTGTACATATTTCGGGCATTGTGTAAATGCTTTCTAGCAGCAGAGAATTTGTTTTAAACTAGATTTTTATTAAAGAATATTCAGCTAATCCTCTGGTTTCAAAATTCATCATGTTAAACTACTAAAACAGAATTTATGCTACTTGTTCAATTAAGTGGAAACAGTGATCTTTCACAGCAGATAGATATCTATGTAGGTTGTCCTTATGAGAAACTGCTCCCTACTACTGTGGAATTAATAATAATAATAATAATAATAATAATGTGTGCATGGATGAAAATATTAACTGCTTCCACTGAAAGAACAGAAAAATGAAAGGAAGTAATCTTCAATGTACTTTTTCTTAGGAGCTTTTGAACTGATCAGTTAATGGCCTGTGTTCTTGCTGCTTTATGTATCACTGTCCATTTATTTTGTTCACTTTGGATTTTGACTCTTTACCCTATTAGAGAGTTAAGATTTTTAATGATTGTATGTGATTCTCCTATGAATAATGAATGAAGAGTCCTATATCGTAAGATTAGAAATAGTTACTTCAGGTTTTTTTCCTGCTGGTTTGGAAGCACCACGGTTACCTGTTGTATTAGAAGCAGTTGTGTACAATTCATACAAAACCTCTTGTGTTTCAGTTTATATTTGCTTGAGATGTGTGTGTGCGTTTCTTCTAAGTGATGCATTCAGATTTTACTTATGGAAATTTAGTTAATAACTGACTGCTTCTACTTTTCAAAGGTACTGCAACAGCCACCTGCAGGTACTTGGCTTTATACCGAAAAAGGAGAGGAAGAAAAAGAATGATCCCATAGAGGAGGTAAAGGTCAGGCATCAGATGGATGCTATGGCCTTCAGTCTGACAGTGCCCACCCTGGCCTTGAAGATGCCCAATGGGCTGGATGGGATGTCCCTCTCCCCTCCAGGGGCCAGGCTTCCTCTCCACTACCTGGAGGCAGAATTAGAAGACCCCTTTGCTTTCAATGAGGAGGATGATGACCTAAAGAAAGGGGCAACAGTGAAGAAAAAGTTGCAGAGCAAGTTGGCTCAAAACCGGCAGCGCCAGAGAGAGACAGAGATTTTAAAAGTTCGCCAAGAGCACTTTAGCCCCATTCCTGCACCTTTGCAGCAGCAGCCTCTGCAGCAGCAGCACTCCCATCTGCCACCTTCATCAGCTTCGTTAAAGCCGACAGGGCTACCGCAGGGCATAGTCTGCAAGTCACCTCAACCTCTGAACACCAGCCTACCAATGCAGGGAGTGGCACCCACCACACACACTATAGCACAAGCGCGGCAGTTGTCTAACAAGAGACCTCTGCCTCTCCTGCCACCCGCCAGGGCTCCTGTCACGGACCCACCAAGGACTGATCGGGTCCTCATGAAAGCCACAGCCTTCTCTCCGCACTCGTCCTGCATGAGCCGGCTCCAGAGACTGGTGAAACTGTGCACTCGAAAACAGCAGCTGGACACTGATCTGTTTCCTCACTTAGGTGAGTAGGTGATAGTTGCACTGCAGCTGTATTTTTTTAACTAAAGGAGAGTGTCTTCCTAGCCCTGTCCTGAATTCCTCTGTGGTCCTTAAAAAATAACCCTGAGCTAGCTGATCTCTTGGTGTTTTCTTTAGGCCTGTTGTCTATGAAGGGAATGCCTGGACCCATCACAAATGGTTTATGGCATTTTGGTTGTTTATTCTTCTTAATGTTCCATTAACCATTTGAGAAATCAAACTGAGGTGTAGAAAGCATTGTTTGGATTAGAGACCTCATGTAGAAGGTTTGCAACTCAAGTAGTGAAGATGACACTAGCAGTACCTACATGAGTGGACAAAGTTAGATTGAAACATTAGGTGTGTGATAAATGCATGTGACATAATAAATATAAGTAAAACTTTGGCAATTTGGACCATCAATCTCTGCAGATTTGAAATTCCAGTTGACTTAATTGGAAAATTGGAACACATGAGAATTTTTCTTGACTGGCCCTATTTATGTATAGAATATGGATGAACAAAAGGAAAAGACCACTTCAGGAGAGCAGCATCATTACAGAAGGTAGTTGGAAAGATGAAGTCTTGTCTGCATACCATGCAGAAATAGTCTTCCCCTTACATATAATAATCAGTATCTGCTTGTGAAAATACAAGCAAATATAACCAAATCGGTGCTATGATGGTAGTGCTCTGTAAGCTTTGAAAAGGCTACTGACCTTGTGGCTGGTTTGTCTGATTGTGAATATAGACTTAGGCACACCTGTATTTTTTATCTTCCTCACCCTCTCAAATTACTTTTCTGCTTAATTTTAGATTGTACATTTCTAACAAGTAAAATACTCACAGGGAAGAGGAATATGAGTCTGTGATATAAGTAGGAACACCATTTATGATGTTTAAAATAAAGAAAGATTTCAGATAAGTCTGGACATTCCCTATATAATGTCTTATTTAATTGCAAACATCTGTATATTTTGCTATTTAAATTAACTTTTTCTTAATTTGCTGTTAAGATCTGCCCTTTGACACTCATGGGATAGTTTGACTATTTGTTCAGAAGATAATTAGCATCCCATAGCATGTCTCCAAAGGAAATTATTCTTCAGAAAACAGCTTTGATGGTCCTATATATAGTGCAGGTCTTTAGAGGAATGGCAACTCCAGAGGTATTTCTGAGTGTTGAAGACCTCAATAGCTTAGAAAGTGACCTGTGTTTTGAAAGACTGTAGAAAAATCCCTTTCTGTGCTTAATGTTCTGCATTCTCAAGTGGTGAAGAGAATATGTTTTCCTCAAAAAGAGGCATAGTAAAAATAAAAAAACCTAACTTCTACATGTACAGTTAGGCAGGTGCATAACTATGTGGATTCATTTAGAACAGTTTATATTTGGCAAAGTAAAGGAAATTACATATTAATTACGTGAGAGTGGAAAATCTATTTGTTATTTATTCATTATAAGCCTTAATATTAAAGACTAGGTATGCCAGTTCAGAGAATTTCAGGATTTCTTTCCTATATTTGAGCAGCACTAGAGATGACTGTACAGAACCTTTCAAAAGATTAAGCCAGTTTTATGTGTATCAACATCAGAGCCAGGTAATTGGATATTAATGTAACTGCAGTCTTCAGTGTCAGGATAGCTGAATCTGGATTAGATTTTATTCCTTCTTTTCTGCAGTGCCCAGGAGAAGCAAAACGACTCAATTTCTGATTTTGTTTTTAAACTTTGTGTGAACAATTTATTATGTGGTTGTCAATTGTGGACATCTTTATTGAATGATTAAGTTGTTTTTTCATTCCTTTATGGAAGAGACAACAGGAAAAGGAAACGAGTTGAAAGTATAATTCTGACATTATGTATGTCTTAAAAAAGTAAAACAAAAAATAAATTTTTAGGATGCTGAAGTTCCTGAAAATTTGGGTTTCTGATATCTGTGGTTCATGTTAAAGTGCCGGTTCTATATGATGAAGAGTTACCTGATGATTTGTATTCCAAGAATATATGTGTATGTCTCTGACTCTGAAAGTGCTTGACCAGGTACTGATGCATTTGCCAGATTCAAGGCATCTGTCTTCAGAATCATCTCACATAAAGTTGTTTACTTTAGTTTTAGCAAAAATGAAATGCTCCTTAACTCTATCAATTTTCAAGGAGCACACAGGAAAATTAAAAAGCAAAAAATGCTAGCTTGTAAATACAGCAATGGTATTTTATCCCACCTGCTGCAAGGAAGTGGCAAGAATTTCACTGGATGTAGGAGAGAGAGAGTAGGAAAAACTACAAAAGATGAAGTTCCAGATAAAATGTTTTACCTGAGAACTTAGTGGCCTCTTTCTGGCTGTCCTGTTCAACAGCTGTGTATAAGTGGACTAGCTGAGGCTGCTGGAGCACACCATAAGTTGATCATACTCCATTATCATTAAGTGAAAACATGCTGCTTGGTGAAAGTGCAGGAATGTTTGTATCTCTCTCTTTAGCTCTTTCTTCATGCTAATATGTTCATGTGGCAGGCAATTACAGGGACTGAGCAGAGGAACATCCTGGGTAGCTATCTATCTCTGTCCATGCTGCTGTGTCTTAAAGTTTTCATATTCTTCTATGTTTTGGCACAGAGAAGGGGTCAGAATATAAACAGAAATGGAATTGGCCTATTTAGATCATATAGTATTAAAATTTCCCAAGTAGTCAGTTCTTCATGACAGGGACTTCTCTTTTACCTTGTACTTGGTTACGAAAACTAGTATTTCTTTGTGGGTAAGATAGTTGGTGATTTTTCTTCCACTGTTTATGGATAGAGAAGCCAGTAAGGATTTTAAAGGGAAAACTCAATTATGATAAAAATCAATGCATACTATATGTATATGTATATGTATATGTATATGTATATGTATATGTATATGTATATGTATATGTATATGTATATGTATATGTATATGTATATGTATATGTATATGTATATGTATATGTATATGTATATGTATATGTATATGTATATGTATATGTATATGTATATGTATATGTATATGTATATGTATATGTATATGTATATGTATATGTATATGTATATGTATATGTAATGGAGCTGTTACTGTAGCTTTTCCTGTATAATTGAGAATACTGCATGATTTAATCAAATGTAACTGTGCTTGCAACTGTACTATACATTTATCTTTTGTGCCAAAGGTTGCTCAGTGGCTTATGTAAGGTGGATACTCTTTTCATCCAATTTCCATGTTTTCAATTCCCTTAGGGCTGGATTGGTCTGAAGACAGTGGAGAAGAGTTGGAGGATTCAGAGCAAACCTCCCCTTACCAGGTTGCGTGGTCTATCCGAGAAAGCCTTGGCTATGAGAGACCTGAGTGAGTATAATTCTTTAGTATTCATGCTGGCCTTTGATGGAATAAATCATGTAAATGTGAGCTTCACTTCAAGTGGAGTCAGTGGAACCTAAGCACTTGTTCAAGTGTTTTGCTGAGACAAAGAATTGTTTGAACTCCTTTGTTTGTAAGAGCTATGGAACAGCTTGTTGCCTTCTGTCCCAGTTTCCAACTAACTTTAGAGACCTTTGTGCAGTCTGCTATCAGAAGGATGCATCAGGAAAAGATTTAAGCTTGTTTGCCTGAATTTAATTTAGTTTAGTGGTATTTATTAATGAATTTGTGTGCCTTGATGATTTGAGGTCCTGAATTAGAATCAAATGGGGTTGCTACTGGTTTCTTGTCTTTCCTACTGGTTGTGAATAACTTTGTCAGTAAACTTGCTACATTTTATTCATTAATCCTTGTAATAATTATGCAGGCTATTGTTTTAATGTGCTTTTTTAAAGGCCACGGTATTTCTTTCCACAATTAAGTGTTGAATAAACCTCTGTCAATACTTGTGAGCATTGGAAGGAAATCATAGGATCAAAATGATAATCAGAGCAGGAATTAGCTGCAGAAAGGCTTATGATGTTCTCTATATAGTGGTATGTCAAAAATCTAAACTTATAGCAGGATATGACAATATAGGTCTATCAATATGGATTTGAAGGTGCACAGTTAAAACAAAGCATCCCAGGTGTAGTATTGTAACAAAACTGTTGTATGTCATTAACAAACAAATTGGGGTCTCACTAGAATTTGATTATAATTTCTGTAATATGACTCTCATTCACTGTGCAACTGGGCTTTTTGGTACTACAACTTTCCCCTTTTTAATTTTTAACTGTCACACTTCGAATAATAGTGTTAACGAAACCTTATTTTGTTACATTCTGAAAATTCTGAAACTTACTAGAATTTCCTGCTATTTCTGAATATTTGTCTCAAGGTGAGCAACAGAGCTGTGTCTCTGTCATCAGGACACACACCAGGATGCTAAATATTAAGGGCCTTCAGTGAATCAAATCTATTAAGCAAATTGTAGACTTCACTTTTTTAAAATAAAGGGGTATTTTTTAGTGATGAATAACTTGTTTTTTAGGGCATCAGCAGTTTCCAAGTGAGCTTGCACAAACATTATTCTAACTTAAAAAGCAACTTTTAAATAAAATGTTTCGGGGAAACATTTCAGACTTCTAAATCATACATAATTTTTCACAGCAGATATATCTATTAAATAACTTCCCTTACACTCTTCTCTCTTTGACATTTGATTTGATTCTTCCATAGATCCCTATTTTTTTTGTCAACTTATAAAGGTCATCATTGTGTGTTTTGTCTTCTATTTGTCTTAACTTCCCTTGGATTCTTCCTACTCTTTTCACATACTGAGAGAAAATAATACCTTGTCTTGACATTTTCTGTTCCATTTTAGCATTCTGTGCACCTCAGTTAAATGCTGTCTTAACTATCCATGATGGATAAATTTTTGGATGCAACTGGCTGTTTTTGTACTTCCATCAGCCTGCTCAGTGTTAGCTCTTCAACAACCTTACTAATTTTGATTGTGGATAAGCATTCACTTGATGTCAGCCTTCTAAAACTTTAGTTCCTGTTCTGCAAACTTCTGTAGAGGTTTTTATTACCTGAAATGTTTCACTTTAACACTTCTGCAGTGTAGTGTGCCTGCTGCTGAAGATGAATTAGTTCAGGCTATTTCTGGGGAGATTTGCTTTGTCAAAATGACTCTGTCTTGCTAATCTGATGGTACAGACTGGTGACTCCTAAAGTCAGCAAGTGACTTATTACAACTCTGGGTTCTGGGGACTTATTTTACTAGAAAACCAATAGAGATTATTTCCCAAAATAATCACAAAATAATCAATTTTAGTTTTTGAAATCACATACTTAAACTTAGGGGATTTACTTGCTGGTTTTCATAGTAAAATTAAGTCTTTTCTCTGTTCATTTGTATGTGAGCTTGTGGTCCCTACCAGCTAACTACATTCTGTCTTTTTCCTTTTGACTACATGGAAGACAGTGGGAGGAATGCTTTTGAGAATAGACTGTTAAAAGAAAGTGAAGAGTTAATTTCTGCTTTACTAGACAGCTGGTTCTCAGCATTTCTGCTTGTGTGGTTGTGGGGGAAACCTCTGTTGAACTTCTGGTGTGATACTCTGGCTGCTCTAAAACTCTCAAAATTTCACCAGATCTGTTTAAAATTAATGTCTTAACAGTGTCCTGGTTTTGGCTGGGATAGTGCTCATTTTTTTTCTTAGAAGCTGGCACAGTGCTGTGTTTTGGGTTCAGTACGATAACAACGTTGATAACGCTCTGATGGTTTGGCTGTTGCTAAACAGCCAAAGTCAAGAACACTTCAGTTTCCTGTGCTCTGCCAGAGAGGGGGTGCACCAGAAGCCACGAGGGAGCACAGCTGGGCCAGCTGATCCCAGCTGGCCAAGGGGATACTCCATGGCCTAGAACATCATGGCCAGGACATAAAGTGGGGGGAGCTGATCACTGCTTGAAGTGGGTGTGAATATCAGTCAGAGGGTGCTGAGCAACTGCTTAGAGCATCACTTATTTTTCTTGGCTTTATTTTATTTTTATTTTTTTCTTCATTACAATAAATAGGAGTAGTATATTTTACTTTGTTTCCATTAATAAACTATTCTTAGCTCAACCCACGAGGTGTTTTTTTCTGATGCCTCACCCCATCCCACTGGTGGGATCAAGGAGAGTGAGCATGCAGGGAGAGGGAGCATGCAGCACTGTAGTACTTAGTTGCTGGATGGGGTTAAACCATGACAACAATAATACATTTTTTGGTTCACTTGCCTTCTGGCCTTTTAATCTGTAAAATTCATATTGTTGCAATCATCTGCGGAAACACAGGCCAAATGTTTGCTTTTATTATTCTGTGCTTTAATTTTGAAGAATTGTGTTGCTATGCTCCCAGGATTTTGGGACACGGTGCTTTGAGACACGCAAAAATGTTTGAGTTCAAATAGCGCAGGAGTTGGCACAGTGCAGGCTGGGTGCTGGCAGAGGTTGCTGGTGTGGGAGGAATCCCTTGTGGGAGCATCAATTTGGAGAGAAAGCAGGGGCTGTTCCCTGCTGCAGATTACTGAAGCTTCCCCCTAGATTATTTGATTACTGAGTCTGGTATCTTAGAAAGTGCTGGAAAGCAAATTACTTTATTACAAAGTATTTTTTCAGTTCCTACACTGAAATATAGCTAAAGCAAACATTTCAAGTAGCAAGTTTGAAAAAGGAGTGTGAGTCCCTCCTCATACCAACTCACTCAAAGGATTAAATATCAATACTGTCTTGTCAAAAGTTGGATTTAACTATTCCAAATAAGTAGAATAACCAAAAGAAAGAAGGGAAGGGTCTTGGAAATGCTCTGTAAGGAGGGATTTAAAATATAGTTGCTGGGGTGTCTCAGAATAGAGATCATGTTCTCCTCATTCCCTGGTGCCTGACTGCTCGTGCTACTCTTTTGCTCTTCCCTTCTGCTTCTTCGTGCTTTGTTTTCTTCATGAACACTCAGCAATAATCCCCCTGATGTTTCCACATGACAGTCTGAAAGGGAAGGGTTGGGAGAAAGCATTTTGGATCATCAAATGGCTCGTGTGCACTTTCAGAAATCTTTGTAAAAATGAAATGCCACATGTTAAGTTGAACTTCAGAAGTTCTATATGCAGCTTAGTGTAGAATAAACTAAATAGAATTTGGCAAACTTGTTTATGAAAGAACAAGAGAAATAACTTTCATTTTCATGCCTACTGAAGAAAAAAGGTTTTATTTTGATATTTTTAGGTTTCTTTGAACATATAAATGTTTTGGCTAGTCTTACTGGCCTGGGAACAAAGTTCTGAACAGACTTTTAGAAACTGGCTTTTAGAAATTTTGGCTCAAAATAAGCCCTTGCCCACTGCAGGCATGATTTCTTTCTATAACTTTGATATATGTTTTCATCTATTTTTAAAAAAGATCTCATAAACTGAATATCAAAAATATTTTACCACGCAGTGACATTTTTTCTGACTCTTTCAATGTGAGAGAAGTAAAAAGTCTCAAATGTAGAGATATGTACATTAAAAAACACTCTTTCCACATTAAAGAAATTTCTTTCCCCTAAGGAATACTCTTGTTATTCTTACAGTTATTTTTTAACCATATTTAAAATTAAATCAGTAATTTTGTTTAAAAGTCTTGGCCCAGAACAGTAGTGAAATACCTAAGATATTAAACCTACCAATAAATACATATTCTATCCATGTTTTCCTCTTTTAGTAATACATTGGAAAAGGAGAATCTATATTAAATAGCCCACAGTCAATTTTTTCTAAACAAGAAGTTTTCCCCAGTAAGCATTCTTTCCTTAGAGATCTTAAAAGTATACTTTCTTCTAATTTCAATGTCAAAATATTCTAAACATTAGATATGTTAGATATTTTTAACAGGTTATATTTGCTGCTAAGCATGTAATTACAGAGGTTAATTACTTATAATTTATGCGTCTAGAAAATAAGCTGTAATCTGTTTTAACAGACAAAATACATAGTATGGTTGGCTTTACATAAAACTTCACAAAAACATGCATTTGTGTAAAAAGCAGTGTTTGCTGCTGCAGGGTTTTTGTGGAAAACCTTAATGGAGAGGTTGCAGTCTCTTCCATTTGGCCTGTGTGTAAATAGAGTCGGTTTCCGGAAAAGAAAGCAGGTCTTCACCATATTGTGTTTCAGGGCCAGATCTGCTGTCCGTGTTTCTGGATCTTACTTTATTTAGTAAATATCATGACTGGTATTTCACATCTCTTGTATCTCAGTGGTGGCCTCCTGTACTGTGTGCAGGTTTGGGTGTCAGCTCATTCAGTCCCACTGGCTCTGAACATAGCCAGCTTTTGATTTACTTCATTTATTTGGATTTCTCTCCCTTGCCCTTTCTTTGTGTTGCAGATAGGAAAGTTGGCAAAAAGTTTTTCTGTTCTATAAGAAAAAAAATAGAGGAAAAACTGAACGGAGTCTGCTTAGATTCAGCATGTGTATTTTGTTGCTCCATGAACAAAAAACTCATTCTGCAAACTAGTGCTTGTGGTGGAGAACTTCTGGGTAGCTTCATGGACCTTGTTTTAACAAGTTCCAGTGATGATTTTCTGTTTCATGACTTTTACTTCATTTAACTGAATGTGTTGACATATTTTGATGGTCTTGTTGATATGTGCCTGGATATTCAGAGAGCCAAGATAAATGGAGAAGGGCTTTCTTAAGCCAACAAAGAGCTGGATTAGGTCTTCATCTGGTCACTGCTTAGCCATGGTCTGATATTTCCCTCAGTATCTTTGTGTTAAATGTGAATTTCTTCTCTACTATTGTACTGTAACTCAACTGCAGCTCTGCAGCAAGGGGAAATCAAGGGGAAATGTTAGCTGTGTTCGTGTGTATTTTGGTTTAAAAAGGAGTACATGGCCTGGCAGAAAAAAAGGAATTGGAGGAAATCAGCAGTTTAGGTACTTGTTAGAATTTGACCGCCTTTTCTAGCATGTTCATTCCTCAATAAATTTCTACTACACGATTCCCCATCCTTGTTCTCTCCATTATTTACACTTTGATTTAAGCATTGGTCTCATTTGCTGAGACATTTACAGTAAATAAAGGTTAACAGTATAGATTTCTTTTTGAACAGCAGGCTCTAGACATTTAAGTGTGTCCGACTTGATGATAAACTGATGTAATCTCTAATAATGACATACTAAGAAGGGCAAATACCTTTAGAATTTAAATGGGGTCCTGCTTTTGCTATTTTTCAAGTAGCACTGCCTGATTTCAGTGTTTGGTTGTTTGTGTGTCTAGAAGATGGATGCCAGCTTAACAATTCTATTAGAATGACAAATTAACTTAGTGTGGGGGGGAAAAAAAGTAGTAACTTAAAGCATATTTGTTTTTGTTTTCCCTTTTTCAGGTCCGATGATGACAATGCAGATGACAGGAGTTCCAGGGTGACCAGACTTTGCACTTACTTTCAGCAGAAATACAAGCACCTCTGCCGCCTGGAGCGGGCAGAATCTCGCCAGAAGAAATGCCGGCACACGCTCCGGAAAGCCTTGCTGCAGGCGGCCAGCAGAGAGCCGGAGCACGCGGGGCAGCTCTTGCAGGAACTCCGGAGAGCTACATGTGCTTGTACCAGGTTAGACCTGCCCTGTGACTGCAGGAGCCTGGGCCTGGGCCAGGGTGGAGATGGGCTGAGCATCCAGCAGCTGAAATTATGAACTCTGAAACTGGTAGTCATGCACAAGGCAGAAAAAAACTGCCTGTCAGTGGAGTAAAGAAATGTGGCATGCAGAGTTTTCCATGAAGACAGGCCTTCTCTAGCTTTATGTTTTAAAATGTGGATGGCTTTTTCAGCGGTTTCTGGGCCCAAATATCTGGTCCTTTACTATGTCAGTAGGTGTGCAGTTTGGTCTGTAGTTCAATTCAGATTTTGTTTCTCAGACAACTTTTTTCGAAAACTCTGTATCTCCTCTTAATTATCTTCCCAGCAAACCAAATTTAAGCTCATGCTTTTTGTTAGATTTAACTCAATCTAACATTAAATAAAACTTGGCAACAAAATACGTAACTTCTAACAACTTTGAAGGTTATCTTCTGTGGGAATTCTTCCTCGATAATGTCAACATCCCTCCAGCTCTCAGCATATGGAGAGTTGGCTGATCCATATTCGTGCAGGAACAGACTAGGTCTGAACCCTGGTGTTACATTTGGGGTATCAGAAGCATCCTTTTGCTGTTGTGGTTTTGCTTTACAAGATGTGTGACTGTGGGATGTAGTGGATAGTATGAGATGCAGATTGGAGCTAGATACAGAGAGTATATTCTGTTTAATGGGATGCTTTTGTTCCTGGACAGTGGGATGTGGTTCATGACAGTTGGAGGGTTCATTATTGTGGAGGTGGACTGATTCTGAAGAGTTGCTCTGAGGTGTAACGTAGAAGTCCATTACTAATTTACAAAGTTGTGCATAAATTTCTTCAGACCTAAACTACAGCAAAAGACCACCTGAACTGACAAGCTCTTGCTGTTTTTTTCCCCTATTATTTTTGCCTTTGATTAAGCAAAGAAAGTTTACATGGTTTTGGGTAGACCAACAAAGCCAGGTATGCCTGTCATCAAAGCTCTGATCAATTTAAGTAACCACAGAGTCTTTTCAGATACAAAATTTTTCACAGGAGTAATACTGCTAACTAAAACTTTGTTCAGTCAAAGTGCAATTGATGACAGAAATGGCTGAAGGAAAACAGTCAGGCTACAGACAGCTTTTTGTCAACCTAGAAAACAACGTGTACAGAGGTGCAAGTCAGCCCTGGAATCGCCAGCTTTATCTCCATGAAGGTGACACATGCCTGGGGAGCAGGCTAACCCCAAGCGAGCTGTGTAACGCTTGAGTACTTGTCCACACTGCTGTCTGGTCGCCTGCTTGCAGCTCAGGCTCAAAGCACAGAGGCTGTGCTGGGGAAGCGCCCAGCCCCGGGCACCTGCTGGTGGATTGGGCTGTAGCACGTTGATGAAGGAGAGCTTTTATCCATGTTGAGCACGCTCAGGCTCTGCCACTCCAGAGCTCAGTCTAAGTTTGTCTGAGCACAGGCTTGCATGTCAGCTCTGGGGATGCTCGGCATGTATTGATTTATGAACAGGCTTTGAAGTGCACTTGACTCCCATCTAGGCATACCCAGTACATTGAATTCTAGAGACCAACCTCATTCTAAGGGTCACCTGTGTTGACACTCACCTACTGCTGCCCTTTCTGTTGTAAGGTGTTGTAATATTTACATGGTAGTAGCACATACCACTTTTCATTACAATTAAGGCCCTGTGAAATAAGAAATAATCCTGTTACTACAGCCACACCTTCACCTGTCATTGACATCTCTTCTGTGTCCCTGTGTAGAGCCTGGTAGTAGTGTGCACCCATCTGGATCATGACGCACACACAATTGTGTGTTACAATTTTTCATCCTACTGTGCCACATTCCATATAATAATTGAGTTGAGCAACCACCTGAGACTGGGGGTTTGTCTGTAAACTCTTTTATGCTTTCTTTTCAGCACAAGCCAAGCAAGGCAGAGGGATGCAGAACCAACAACCTGCAGTGGGACTTCGAAGGGAGAGCAGTGCACTAACAAGGCCCTTCCATTCACCAGGCACTGTTTTCAGCGTATCCTCTTAACTCTGTTTGGGAGTTGCAATCAGGCATGGAAGCTGTTCTGTTTTAGGAGCTTTTTTGTTTGTTTGCTAGATTTTTGCATGATACCTAAGTTTTCACGAAGAAATACCTATTTGTTAGTGTGTCATCAACTCCTTTGCTTTTAATTCAGCTGTGTGATTTGGCTCAGTAGACAGCATGGATAAGTAGTCTGTTACTGTAATAGGAACATCATTTTGCTTTGTGGGCTGTATTTAGGGTGTGCGGGAAACCTTTACAAAATGATATCCTTCACTATGACTGGTACAAACCATGTGACTTCCAGCCTCTTGGCTTTCATACAGGTCTTGGTAGGTTCCAATAGGCCACCTTCCTGTGACAGTTTTATGGAAAAAGGTTTTTATACAGAGTATAAGAAGATGGCTTACACTGAAACACTAGAAAGATGGAAATCATACTTTGCATTGTTTAAAGCAACAGAATAGAAGGAGTCACAGAACCTCATATTCCAAAAGAGGAAGGGTTCCCTGTGCTTGGAATTTCAAGCAAAGCCTGGAAAGGATGTTAAAAGTCAATGGCTGAAGATCGTAGAAAGAGAGCACATTAGATGTGAGTTTTGGTTCTGAAGACTATAAAAAGGCAGACTTATGACCTGTAATACTTAAAAAATCTGCAGACTTGGCCTTTTTTGTTTTTAGCTGAAGAATTGTTGGTGCTTTTGTTGGGGTGACTCCTTTTGTTGGAACTTTTGGTTTTGGTATTAAAGGGTGCTGATGTGTTCAGCTACTATCAGTCTGCAGCACCTTTCCAGTCTTTTTGTTTTTCAGATGCCTTGTTTTTATTGCTTCATTTTTTGCAGGCCACTTAAAAACAGTCTGCAGAGCAGTTCAAAACCTCTATGAGAAAGCACCATGGTGTGCAGCTGTGTTTGGGATTTGCCTCATGATTCTGATGGGATTTTTTTGTTTGGGTACTTTTTCTAATTTTAAGGGGTCTCGCTTGTTGCTGTGTGCAGAGAAGAGTAGTGATTTTGCATGTATGCCCATTTTTTCTCTCTGCATTTTCTTCTCTTAAATGAACAGGTTCTTGGTTCTGACCCATCCATCCAAGTCTGCTATCTGGATTGTTCTGCAGGTTTTTCATTTTCTTTGTCTTTTTTTTTTGTTGTTTTAACATTTTATAAACATATATAGTGACGTTGAGGTCTGAGAACTGTTCAGGATGGAAGGAGTGCTCCTAATGTTGTTTGAGAAAACACACAATGAAATATCTGTTTGATTTGTTGTAAGTCTGGAGACATTTTTACTCCTGCTAAGGATTTTTCTGAAGGAAATCTCAGCAAGCTTACGTGTGGATTTACTTGACCTTTCTGTCTGCTTGCACATCTTTTTTTTCAGAGGAGCAGGAAGAATCTTGAAGCTTCTTTGTCTGTACTCTAAAGATAAATGCCAAGAACCTTAAAAGATTGAATTAAGAAATACTCTTTCTTTAATGTTTCAGTATGGATTGTCATTAGTCTGTAAGGAAATAGTCCTGTTGACTACACTGTTCCAACTGCTACTATTGATCTATTGATTAAGGCTCCAGGAAAAGGCTTCTTTTTGCTAAGAACTCATTAGTGAAATGGCTGCTTTTATAAAACTATCTCACTATATAATAAAATCATTAGTGATTCTGCATGAATGCAGTTTTTTCACTTTAAAAGTTGGGTTTGAGCTTTACCTAACTTTGAACTCGAGTAGCAAACTTAAGGCACTCATTAAAAATAGTATCTATGGACAGATAGTATTGAAGGCTCTGATCTTTATCAAACTGATAAATCAAAGGGCGTTCCTCCACCACTGTCTTGTGTTATTCCTGATGCAGAAATGCACAGATATCTTACTGAACCGTTCTCAGCAGCTCTTCTCGAGTTGCACAGCCAAGTTTGCAGATGGTCAACAGTGCTCTGTGCCAGTTTTTGACATTACACATCAGACACCTCTGTGTGAAGAACATGCCAAAAAAATGGTAAGTACAAAGCCATCACTGTATTTATTTGTGTATTGGGATGATCAGGAGTTTTAACCCCAGTCTTCCTATGAAGTCTTTCTTAACAGTTAGCAAGTTTATGAACTTAAGAGCTTGTTTGGTATTATTTTTCTTAAAAAGGTAAAACTTGCCAAACATTCCCAATTAGTATAAAGTATGTTGTGAGGAGTATGTAGTAGTAAAGTAGTAGTAGTAAAGTATGTAGTTTTGAGGATATAATAAAGTATACATGGGAATATTCTTCACTGGAGAAAATTTGATTATTTTCCTGAATTGAGAAATAGAAGATCATTGTGAGAGATCCTGTGGTCATTTTATTTGTTCACTCCTGTTCCTTGGATCTGAATATAATTTGAGTGTGGTATTAAGAACACTGCATCTTAAGCAGTCTCAGTACATGGGGCCCAAAGTACTTTCTAAAGGAAATGCAGATAGCAATTGCAAGGATGCCAGTAATGGGTTTACTACTTTATTTACCTTTTAGTAACTAAGAGTTTATCTTTAATCTCCTTCAGGGATCCATCAATCCCAGAAAAAAAGCAATGGCCTACCTCAAGTTTAGAGAATAAAGAAATGATGTTGGTGTCCTCTGCTCTCCTTTTATGACATCAATCTTCCAGAACAAAAACTTTAGTTTAATTCACTAATTAAGTGGGTTAAACCCACTTCTGTCTTGCCCCTCCTTCAGGGCTTCTTGTCCTACCTTCAATTAGGTGTAAAACTGCCTTTTTTTCTTTTGTTTTGTTGGGTTATTGAAAGTTTTTTGTTGCTGTTTTTGTCCAGCCTCTCCAATAATTGTGAATTATGGAGTTTTTTGGATTAAAATGTGAGGGTTTGTGCTACACAGATCTTTATGGGGTTTCCCCCTCTTCTAGGCAATCTTCAGTATGTCCCGCAAGGTTTACTTCTGTAGCAAATATAATCTTCTGCCATTCCCTATATGATGGCAACTTGATGATGGTTTGATTTATTTTTTAATGTGTCAGTGATTGCTGTTCAGAAGCAATGAGGCCATAATTGTTTACCCATGTTCTTATCCTAGTCCAGCAGTATTAATTTTGTCTCCTCAGTGCTGTCCCTCTGTTACGTCAGTGGGCACTTGAGGATTCTGGCTTCAGCTGCTGCACATTATCCACATTAACACAATCTCACAACAGTGTTTCGTCTTTAATACTTACTGGAGTGCTGCTAAAGGTTACAGTTCTGCACTGTTTAATTAGGGTTTGCTATGATAGTTTTTAAAGTGAACTGCACAATCTCATATTTACAATACCTCATAATTTGGTCAATGTTATTTTTGCCGTTGTGGTCAATGAGGAAGGGAACAGCTCCATTTTTGAAACTGTGTCTGGGTGTAAGCTAACAGTCCCTCATGACATGGACTGTCACATATCTGTGTAATGACCAGGGTGAAAAAAACAAGGAAAGTAATATTTGTTCTTAATATGCTCCCATTGGTATTGTTTTGCTCCTGAAGGATAATTTCTTGAGAGGGGACAGCTCCCGTAAAGTTCAGCACCAGCAGCAGAGGAAACCCAGGAAAAAAACGAAGCCACCTGCACTTACCAAAAAACACAAGAAGAAGAGAAGGCGAGGCCCACGCCGGCCCCAGAAACCCATTCCTCCTGCAGTGCCGCAAGGGAACCTCACCATGCCTGCCAGTGTCTCACTGCCAGTAGAGATACCCCACATACGGTCAGTACTCTTCCTGCCCAGTTTCACACTGCTGGCCTGAGCATTCCAGTGAGCACTGTACAAAGCTGCCAAACAGCATCTGGAGCAGGGCTAAAAATTGCACCTCCATGCGACTGTTGAAAAAAGCCCTTAGAGTGGGTCATTTTGGAATTGAGCAATGACTGGGTTTGGTGGGTAAAATATCTTGCTCATGTTGCCTCTTAGGTAATTAATGAGTAGTCTAAGTGTAAACTTCCTAAAGAAACTACCAAAAAGCATTTTTTTCCTACATAATGGAGTAAAAAATATGTGGGGAAGCATCCATTGTAGATGGATGTGCTCTGATAGTTGTCCTTTGGAGCAAGCAGAGTTGAACACCAGGGAGTAATGTTCCTTTCTGTTCAGGAGCCCATCCACACCAGAGCTCAGTGCTGATGAGCTGCCTGATGATATCGCCAATGAAATCACAGACATTCCACATGACTTGGAATTGAATCAGGAGGACTTCTCTGATGTCCTGCCACGGCTGCCCGATGACTTGCAAGATTTTGATTTCTTTGAAGGTACCATTTTATTTTATGCTAGCATGAACACAGTCAGTGAACTGAAGAAGTGAATGTTTCTAAACTGTGTTTTGAGGACTTGCTTGCTTTCCTACAGAGGTAATAAATTCTAGAGAAGGAAGTGTGCATTTGCTCTGTTGTTTGTGAGCTCTGAAGTAAAGCAGACTTTAAGAAGGCTATGTGCATAGTTCTCTGCTTGCTCATATAATTACTGCTCTGAAAATCATAATTGCTTTAGTATTTTAATAATTAATTTTACATTTTTCCTGCCTGTCAGGGTTACAGTTTAATCAAGAGTGTTCTCAGTAATGGCATCTTTCTGCCATTGAGTGGGGCTGGAATCACAGTCAATGTTGGCCTTTGATAAAAAGAGAAGAGAGTGAGAATAAAATCTTTAAATATATTTTTGAAACTAGCTTTTGATCAGAAATGTGTTTGAATTTCTGCATTCTAAAGCTTACTACCTGTAATATATAACAAAGAAATTTGAACAGCCTGGAATTGGGTACGTGATTTCTTTGGTCATTTTCTGATGTAATATGACATCAGACTATGTTTGAATTGAAATTAACCTAAATTATACTGTCTGTGTAAATTTTAGGTCCAGACTGCAATGTGGTAAGTAGAAAGAGGGATTGTGGACCATGTGTTACTGCAGCATTGAAGAAGATCTTACTTAAGCATTTTTAGGTCCAGGAAATCTAAGAGGCATCTCCTATTGTAGTATGTGGAAGAGAAAGGGGAGATGGGGATTTCCATTGAAGAAGAAGGTGTAATTTCATGGTTTTCTTACTTAGCTAGTGAACACTGATGAATGATACTTTCTCTGTACTGTAAGCCTTGCTAGAAGGTTATCATTTGGTGCAACTCTGTACTGATTTGTCTGTACATCAGCATCCTTTGGGTGCCGGGGCCAGGCTCACCTGAGAGCAGTGCACTAACTGGTGGTGTTCCTGTTTCTGCAGGTAAAAATGGAGATCTTCTTCCAACCACAGAAGAGGCTGAAGAACTGGAACGGGCCCTACAGGCTGTAACTTCTCTTGAGTGCCTGAGTACCATTGGAGTACTTACACAGACAGATGGTGTGCCAGTTCAGGAGCTGTCAGATAGAGCGATAGGGGTGTTCTCTACAGGTGCTGGAGCTCCAGGAATGCAGTCCTTGAGTCGAGAGGTTAACACGGATCTGGGGGAGCTGTTGAATGGGCGTATAGTACACGATAATTTCTCCGGTCTGGAGCTGGATGAGAACTTGCTCCGTTCTGCTACCTTGTCCAACCCACCTACGCCCCTGGCAGGGCAGATCCAGGGGCAGTTCTCAGCCCCAGCCAACGTTGGCCTTACTTCTGCCACTCTGATAAGCCAGAGTGGCCTTGGGGAGAGAGCCTTCCCGGGACAGTTTCATGGACTTCATGATGGCAGCCATGCCTCCCAGAGGCCCCACCCTGCCCAGCTGCTGAGCAAGGCAGATGACCTGATCACCTCACGACAGCAATACAGCAGTGACCATTCACACTCCTCACCCCATGGAAGCCATTATGATAGTGAGCATGTGCCGTCTCCCTACAGTGACCATATCACATCCCCTCACACCACACCCTTTTCTGGTGATAACTTGGCAGCTACCTTCTCAGCAGAGATGCCCATGATGGCACAGCACTTGCTACCAACTCAGCTGGATGTGCCACTTAGTGGGGTGGTCAACCCCAGAACTCACTGGGGGAATCTTCCTGTCAATCTTGGGGACCCCTCTCCGTTTAGCAACCTTCTTGGTGCAGATGGACACCTCCTGTCCACCTCCCTGTCCACACCACCTACCACCTCGCACTCAGAGACCACACAGCCTGCCTTCGCCACTGTGACCCCCAACAGCTCCAGTGTGCTTCCGGGGTTACCGCAGACCAGTTTCAGTGGCATGGGTCCTGCCTCTGCTGAACTCATGGGCTCCACCTCCCCTAAACAACAGCTCCCTCAGTTCAGCGCAGCCTTTGGGCACCAGCTGAGCTCCCACAGTGGCATTCCCAAGGACCTGCAGCCCAGCCACAGCTCCATAGCTCCTCCCACGGGCTTCGCAGTGACCGGTGCCACCGCTACCAGTACCAATAACGCATCCGCGCCCTTCACCACCTCCAACTGAGCTTGTCTGCCTGGCTCCCTGCAGGTAGATGGGGGACCTGTGTTTTCTATCTTTCCTTTTTTCCTTTCTCTTTATTTTGTCTGTTTTCTCTTCCCATTTTTTTTAAGAGGGGGTTGAGAAGAAAACCCCTGCTTCAGTACTGACCAGGGTTAGCCCTATGTGAACCTTGCTGTAGCATTCACATGTGCTTGTTAGGCACTGGTGCTCATTTATTGCAGGCAGGTTCGCTGTTCCCCAATAATTTTTTAAGGATACAGCACAGTTACTGGATGTAATTGATCTTAGCAGTAAGACCTAGAAATGGGAAGATACCTCAGATCACTGATGCGTGTTACTGTTCCCTAGGGTTCGGATCAGTGCTTGCCATCCCATTAGCATCTGGTAGAAAGTTTTCCAGTGGGCAGAAGTCCCTTGATTTATTTATTTTTATTTTTGATTTACTCTTTTTCCAAAGGTAGCATCTGGCATGGAAAACTTGGCTTCACACATTGATTTGAGAGTGGTGCACTGAAGTCCTAAATCAAGATCATGATTCAAGGATGAGTTTGGCAGTTTCTTGAAATAGTCTCTTGACCTCCTCTGTGTGTGTGTGTGTGTGTGTTTGGGGTGCAGGGAGCAGCGATTCCTTTTCCTCTTTTAGTGAAGAAGTAGGAGTTGACCCCATCCAGAACTGGTCACTGTTCTTACTGCATGATGATTTTTGGGTTTGTTTATTATCATTATTTGTAATTCATTGAGTAGCAAAGGGATCAGTTGACTGGTTGCCCATAAATTTTAAGGCTGATATTGAAGTTAGCCCAGGAAAAAAAAAAAAAAAAAGAAAGATAAACAGAAGGATTGAAATATAGATCATGGATTAGAGAAGATTCCTGTGAGAAATTCCCTTTCTTGCTGAATTACTGTGGCCTTGTAGCATTGATGATTTGCCTTTTCAAGTGTGTCTGTCCAGAACTCTTTGCCTGACAGGCTGACAGGAATTTCCCAGCTGAAACAGGAAGAATTAGGTTGGTTTTCTGCCCATCCACACAAGTCTAGGTCACACCCGTTGTAAGTTTCAAATGGATGCATTTCTCACAATATGTCTAACTAGTGAGACTTTCTTGGACAGTTTTTAATCCCCTGAGAGCCATATAGTTTTTTCCAACACTTGTAGGGTTTGATGCTCTGTTTGGGAAGCTGAATGTATGTAAGGAACTAGCAGGTACCTGTCAGCAGTCATGGCTAACCAAAAGAGAAATCATTAAAGCAAAATAGGTAACAATTCCTTCTGTCTGCAGGATGGTTGATCACCTGCTAACAACAGTATTCACTCTTTGGTAGTAATTGCAGTTCCTAAAGAAAGGAGTCAGCTAGGTTTTAGGTTTTTAAAATAATTACTATTTTTTAATTTTGTTTTTTAAACCAAGAGGTAATAGCAGAAGAAATTCTGAGGTGTTTACTTGCATCTCCCTATCAAGAAGGAATTTGCTTGTTACTCTATAGGGCAGTACTTATACTGTACTCTGACAGTAAAAGTAGTTCCTGTTTAATACAAGTCTCTGCTCTTTGTTGTTTCAGAGATGCAGATGGAGAGAAAATAGTAAATTCTACATTTCAATCTTGTAATCTAAATGATGGATTTTCTTCTACCTTACAGTAAAAAGTCCTACCTGTGTGTATTCTAGTCTATTTCAGGAAATTAAGAGAATCAAGTGCATGTAATAGGGAGGCCTAATAAACTTTCTGAGCAAAGGATCATTGAATGAAGTTTAGTTGCTATAGAAATTCATTTCATTAGCAGCAGTCAGGCACATACCAAAATATCTGACCCAAACCTCTCCTTCCATCTTCCTAAGGAACAGAGTTTAAATGGAATAGGTCTTGTGTCTTCTTACTGTTGTAGCAATCATACTATCCCTCTTTTCTTGAATAATCTGTCCTCTTTAAATACAAAAGAGTATGGGTGATGCATATGTCCTTTTCTGAAATTGCAAGTGTATGTGGGTGGAAGAAACAAAAATTATTTTCATGCTTCTGTTGTTATGAAGTCATTATTACATACTTGGTAAAATAGATCTTAGTAATATAAGCCGAATATTTCAAGTGGTGATCTAAATATGTTTGTAACACTTAAATGTTTTTAAATCACATAAAAAGTTTAATTGAAGCCTATGAAAGCCTGCTTGTGATTGTCCTGCTGATTGAGGAATGCCCAGTGATATTGTGAATGAGGCAAATCTGACAAGGCTTTTATTTATTTTTGTATTATGTTTCCCATACTTTGTTGAGGAGACAACTGTTTGATTTGCAGGTTATTTTTGTTGTGCTCGTATACCTTTTTCAATGTGCTGGGATGTCTGACTGAAAAAGAGTGGAGAACTAGTATACCAAATGGTTAATTCTTTAATTTGCTTGTGTATTCATGTAATTTTAGAGGGTGTTAATTTCTATGTATTGGTTTCAGGATCTTGGTCTTGAAATGGTTCTTGTGCCCATCAAAATTCTAATGAAGCTGCAGCTAGTGCAGAGTATATTTGCCCCACATCATATTTCTCTTTCTTAGCACATGCTGGGAGGGAAGAGAGGATGGGAACTGAGAGCCAAGTTCTGCTTGGTTGTGTTGGTATAAATTACAGAGGAGCCTTCTGGTCTAAGGTCAGGGTGAGTTTGTACTGGTCTAACTCAGAACAGAACACAGCTCCTAATCTGCGCATTGATTTAGACAGGGAATTTCAAAAGCTGTCAGAGCTATGCAGGTCCATGATTACCATTTGAAATCAATGGCCTTTATGGACATGCGTTTCTTTAAAGTAGCTTAGGACATCAAGTCTCTTCCCCCACTTAGATTTCAATTTTTGTGTACTGCTTGACAACTCTTCCCTGAAAACTGACTGCGTAACATTTTTCCATGAGCAAACTAAGTTTGCAATAAAGCTGCACTTTCAAAAATAAACTTCAGTTTGTATACAATTGAAATAGGAATCCCTCTGTCCTGTCTGCCACAGTGTTCTGAAATGGGCCACCACTCTTGCCTTTTCCTGGTTCACCTCTCATTTTTTCATTACCACCAATTTCATGGTTACATGGCTACCAAGCAGTTACGGGTCTTGATCTTAGCTTTACAAGGTGGATCATTCCAGGTGGGTTTACCTGTTGACTTCAGTGCATCAGTGTCTTGCTGTTGGATGCGAGAGATCTAATTGAGAGGTAGGTGTAGTCAGAGATATTTCACACCTCTTCCTCTGGGAAATCCTGCTGGCCTGGTTAAGGTGGTCCTCAAAGCTGTTATTTATGTGGTTCTCGAGTAGAATCCATGCTCCCTCACAAATGTTTTTGAGTATCAGCTCTTATAGCAATTAGCATTCTTGTCACCCCTTCACCAAAGAGCCAGTGTAGCAATTTCAGATGCTCAGTACCTGTTGTGCCCTTTATATGTTGACAAATGGAATAAGGCTAGTTGAACCTAAAAGCTAATTTCTTCACATAAGATCGGAGTTTCTGAAGAATGAAAAAAGTTAGACATAGAATAGGATATAATTTACATAATTTTGGCAATAATAACACCTCAGATAGTCTCTGTACAAAAATACTTAACACAAGATGAATTTTGACAATGTACAGAGGCTTATCAGGAATAGCTTCGTGCTCTCCTGGTACATAAGGCATTCTTTAAGACATGCTTTGATGTTTCCTTTCACCTAGGAAGACCTTACACCAACTTTGAGGGGACCCATATGTACTTAGATACCTCAAAGTTGATTTGTTCTTTGGCTTCATCATTATGATGCATGAACTTTGTCTCCTCCTGCCTTCTAGTTCCTCCAGGTTCTTGCTTAGATCCCTTCTCGTTAGTAGCATGCTTCTCTCTATGGCTGAGCATAAAGGCTTTAAATTGATAATGCTGAGAGGTAGCACAGTTGCAGGTCTGCCTCAGGCACTGTGGAGAAAATGGCAATATCTAGATTTCCAGCTGAAAATGGGGATTTGCAGTTCTCATTTGGAAAGCACTGAAAGCCCTGAGAAGCTTATTGCCTGCTAGGCAAAAATCAGAGAAAAGAAATTGTCAAAGAGGAATTGTACCTAATAACAAAGAGAAGCCAAGGGTTTTTATTTTATTTAATTTTTTTATAAAAGGAAGATAAGTATTGAAAAAATAGGACATTCTGTTGTGAGATGCCACTGGCTTTAGGGCCACGGCTAAGGCAAAAGACCTAGGACTGAACCTGAAAACCAGTAGCCAAATTCAGTTTGATGCTTTGTCTTGCTGTAACCACATCTAAATACAGTCTGGGATTGAATCTGCTTGCCAAGAGAGTCCTGCAAAGGTGTACAATAAACAGGAGTTTTCTTCCCTGAGAAGCTGGCCCTGGTGGCTACTTATGCTGCTTCTGAGCTCCAGCTACCCCCTGAGCTCCTGCAGCCTTCTTGCTGCTGTGCATCCCTGTAGGCATTGTCAGGCCTCCAAGGGTATTTCTCCCTGTCATTGTGCTGCAGTGGGCTTAATCTACTCATGAATTCTCCAACAGTATGAGCCTTTGGGCAGAGAGGAGGGAAAAATTTTGAGAAGAGCCAGCTACATGCAGTTAACCTTTCAAGATTTGTAGGGCACAAGATGGTGGCAGGAAATGCTTTCAGCCAACTAACAATAGAAAAGATACCTGCAGTGATCTTTGGCAGTGAGACATTTGTGTGGCTGTCCAGGCAGCTTCCCTGGTGGAACTGGGGTATTTTTTCTTTTGTATTTTTACATGTGAAGGAGTCCCCTGTGCAGACCTCTTGCAGGGTCCAGTGGTGGCAGAAATAGTGACTGAAGGAATAGTTTGGGGCTAGTGTGCTGGCTGGATCTTTAGGTCTTTCTCACCTTCTGATCACAAAGTCTTTTGGGTAACATTTAATGATGGGGATTTATGGGCTACTTATTGTACTTCCTTTATTTCCTTCCACTCTACATTCTTCATAATTCTTGCTTCTATTTTTTTCATTCTCAGACCCTCCTCCAATGTAAGTTATGCAAGCTGGTGAGTCTTCTGTGGTTCTGAGTGAATCTGACTGTAAAATGAAAAGGAGGAGAGATTTCTGCAATTCATAATGTATATTTGGATGCTAGAATGACAGTGCAATAGATCAAAGTGTTTCTCAGATCAGTGAGTAAGGAGATGTTTCATAGCATGCTAATATGTCATGAACTAGATGCTGAGGGTACAACATTGATCATGGAAGTGCACATGCTAGCAGTGAATATACAGGCATTTTTGGCAAGAATTTACCTTCTCAGAAGTTCCTCTTCTTTTGAGATGTGTATCAGTAGAAAGTCATAAATTAAAATTTAAATTACCCTTTCTTAACACGCTCAAGCCCAAATAAAAGTAAGAAGGGCTGGTGACAAAAATCTGTATTTGTGTTCACTAAACTTAAACTTGGACTTCAGGAGAGGTCTGGACATAAGAGACCTTAGTTCTTATCAGTAAAAGTTTCAGTCTTGTCTTTAAAACACTATTGTTGGGAAAGAAAAGTTTGGGGGAGGAGAATGAATTAGAAAAGATGCATCTTTAAACAGTTTTCTTACTTGTGTCTTCAGCCTCTTTTTTAAAAAAACCCTCAAACAGTAGTGACTATTTTCCCTTTGCTATCTGGTACGTCTTATGGTTGTTGACTTCTTTGCTTTCCCCTGTTTTACTCTGCTCCTTCTCTAGCTACTGTGGAATGAGGTAATGTAGTGGAAGCATGAAAGGACAAAGTGAGCATGGCTCTAAGTTGACAGCAGTAGTTGGAGAAGGCTTTCTTTATCTGTCTCCTTGAAGTAAGTGTTGGCACCTTTTCAGTCTACTCTAGGTAATAGACTTTGGTCTGGAAGTGAATAGGGTGAAACTTAGGCTTTTGACCATAAAACTGTACTTACTTGCTGTAGAAAAATGCATTCTTTCCACTCTTCCTCTTGCTAGTCCCCCAAACACACACACAGTGAGATGGCCAGAGTTAGCTGCGTGTCAACCACATAGGCATGTTGAACTTGGTGCAGTAATGCTAATGTTTAACCTGCTTTCTGTCGTTGTCAGCTGGTGCCCACGGAGATGAACTCTGGATAGGTAACGTTCCCAGATATCCTCTGGAAAACTTTAACTTTGGTGCAGATTGCTCTGATGTAGCTAACTGCGATGGCATTGGCTTCTACCTTGGAGTGGACTGATTTACCCTGAAATGACTCTCTAACCTGCGTCTTAAACAGTGTAGTTGGTTCTGGTGCAAATAGATTAATTCTGAAGTGATGGACATTTTTATTCTCATGCAAAATAGCTAGATCCTACTAGAAGGGGTTGAACCAGTTTCTCTGAACAGTGATGACCTTCACTGTACAGTTTTGGGTATGTCTCAGGGATTCCTTGTGGAAATAAGGGCAGTTAACAAAAAAACAAAAAAACAAACAAAAAAAAAAGAAAGGAAAAAAGAAAAAAAATTAAAAAAGAAAAAAGTAAATAGTTTTAAAAGTAAATAATAATTTAAGGTAGAGCGTCACCTAAGTGAGAGCGCAAGAAGGAGAAATCTTTGTTCAGTTTTAAACTCAACAGTGTCTGGCTTACGGACTCTTTCTCTTCTCGGGGCTCTCATCTCAAGTTCAACATACAGAATCTTTTTCATCACGCTCAGCTTTAAACTTTTTATTTAAAGATACCCTTCCCCAATGAGCTTTCAGAATACTTATTGTAGATTTTAAGAGAAATGGTATATTAATTTATGCTATTAACATCACCTCATAAATTATAAGTTTTATACTAAAGCTGTATTGAGTGTAATGAATTATGTTGCATATGTGTTTTTAATAGCTATAAAATTATATACAAGCTTTTTTGGAAAAACAAACTAGTGAAGCACCTTTTTACACTGGATCTTTGCCGTGTCAAGGTGTACAGCTATTCTTTGCTACCTTGCAGATATCTATATCTATATATAGATATATATATAAATAAAATAAAATGGTATCCTGTATCAACAAGTATAGAACTCTTTTTAACCCTTATATTACTGTTCCTATAACTCTTTTTAAATTTTGAGTGTTACATTCTGCAATAATTTATCCGTGGTTTGTACCTATGATTAGAAATTTAGTTACAGGGTAAATAGATCAAATTTAAAAATCCAACTACTGTAGCTGGGAGTTGTGAATCAAGTTTGTAAGACCTTTTCTTTTTTTTAATGTATTTATTTCCAGTTAGCTCTGTGAGTTGGAATTTGAAAAGTTGGAACATTAGGAATCTACAGTGTCTTATTCAGGAATTTTCCCCTCCTTTCCTCACAAAGGAATTCCCACTGTGACTTATAAATAGAATTAGACTGCTTGTGTGCATGTATGTATTATATATACACACAAAAAATATGCATTGGGGGGGATGTATGTGCGATACGAATGTGTATATTGTATGTAGGTCATAGTTCTGTAAAGAGAAAAGTAGTCAAGAGGTGATGGAATGTATTGTAGAAATGTGATTATTTAGTAGGGGGTTGTTATGTCCTCACTGTTGTATAAATAACTGAAACTCTCTACTATATAATCTTCTGTTATAAGGCTAACTCTGATATCATGTCAATTTTACTGTTTTTCAAATGAGTTCCTTTGAGCCCTGTTTAAAATGCCATGAAAATACCAAGCTCCCAAAGACAGCCTTTAAATAAAACAAATGGGGGAGGAGGAGTGATGGAAGAAATTAGTTTTTCAGGACAAACTGAATGGGAAGGTTTGCATTCAGTGGGATGGAGAGGCGTGAGAATTGCTGTATCTTTTCAAATGAATACCCAAATCTCCTACGGTCTGATTTGGAAAATGTTGTCAATCAGTGTACTTGTGTTTTCCAATCAGATTGTGAGGGGTACTGTTTCTGCAGTGGTCTTTATTCCATAAAAGGATCTTGTCTTCAAAGCAGATTTTTTTTCTCTTCTAAGGATATTTGTGTACATCAATTTTGCCCCAAAATTGCTGTTGTGGGATTGCAGAACAAAATATGCATTCAGTCAAGGGAGTTTCATTTAGGCTGTGAAATTCTGATTTTGATTGTGACCACTTACCTTTTTTTCATAATTGGAGAAGGAAGATTTCTTTATGGGAGCTATCACTTGAAATTTTGAGAAGGCAGAAATATTCTTGCAGATTGGCTTACTCTTCATACTGTTCTATTTAGTTTGGAGAAAACAATCTAATTGTTATTTATTCATACAGTATCATTTTAAGTATGATGATCCTGGTGACTTTAAAAACCTTTTTAGAAAAACAGAGCTTCTAGTATTGAACAGAAATTTGAAATTTTTTGCAATTGTTTTTAATATTCTCCTCCATATCATGATGTTGATACTCCCCCAGGCATCCCTCCCCCTCTTCTTATCCCCAAAATTTTTTGCTGGCACATATGCATACAGACAAAAGGGTAGGGCGGTGGAAGTTGTCAGAGGCCTTTTCTTCTGCTTATTTGGTGGTAATGGGAATTAGGAGCATAGATCTTTATGCCTTTTTGGAGGAGAATAGACTCATTTTTTGTGCACACCTGTACAGAGAGATACATCTGTATGTGAGATAATGGTAGAATTTTGCTGAATGTGGAGTTGCCCTCATGATGTACAATAAATATGTATGAATGCAATAAATCTAAATCTATATATACATTCATACAGATTGATAGATGGAATATACCTTGTATCACACTCCTATACATTATCTATAACATGAGCGAGGGTGTGAGCTAAAGAGAGGGACTGTCCATGTAACATATGTGTAACAGGTAAGCACTTGTGCCAGACAAGTTGTTTTAGATTCTTCTGAGGGGTCTGGATGACTCAGAGACTGATCTGAGCTTGGCCACCATTGTTTTGTGTTACTTCAGCCCTTGCAGTGGAGTTTCTTTGCTACGTCTCTGCTTTTGTTTTATATTTAGTCTCGTTGAGGCCTTTTGCAAAATGCCAGCTTTTTCTGCTTCTCTGCTCCATTGCCTCTATTCCAGCTCCTCCTTGTCCCTGCATCTCTGCAGTTTCTCTTGCTAGCAGTAATCAGCTTTAATGGCCCAATCCAGCTCTGCTTATGCATGAAGGAATTCTCTTGGTGACTGAAGTGGTAGCTGAATTGGGCCCTGAGAACCTGCTTGAACTTATGCAAACTTCCCTAGCTTCAATTGTGATTCAGTAGGACTGTGATTGACTTGCAGATGAATACAAACTTTCCATGGAACCTGATGCAAAGCTTCCTAGCATATTGAAAGGTTAACCCAGCATTATATTGAAGTGGTCAAAATGAGAAAACTACACCTCCCAAATACTACCTTCTAATTTTCAACCTTAGGGAGGAAAAAGAAGTTTGATTTGTGTTTCCCATAACACAGGCACTAAGCAGAAGGCAGCCCTGTGCTCTGTTCTGAGCAAAGGGGTTGTCATCAAACATATCAAAAGAAACACAGTTTATTGCACTTCACCATAAAACATATTTTCAAATGGAGTGCAGAGTTGACCATTAACATGCTAGCACTTTGCATCTAATTGTGTATTGGGTGATCTTGCTTATGCAAGTAAATTATGGGCTTAAGTGTTTTATTTTCTGTTTTCTGGCTAAATGGAGCTTCTATATCCTTTTAGCAGAAAGCAGCTGTCAGCAACCTGCTCAGTCACATTGAAGTGCTGTGTAACTTAGGCTTCAGTTTCAGAGGAGAATGCTGCTCCAGTTCTGTCATCGAGCCATACTGGATTCCATGTTTTCAATATGGCTATGGCACAATTTTTCTTGGCCACAATTCAGCCATGGAATTTTGTCTTCTTTGCATTTCTGTTAGAAAAAGGTAACTGGTGTACTGTTCCATCTGAGCTTTCATGCAGTCATACACAACTTCTCTGATACATATGTTGGGGCGTGTGTATGGGTATGTCTGTGTACTGCGTGTGGATAATACAGATTGATATGCACACGCCTATTATGCTATTTCGGTTTATGTATGTGGAGAACGTACCTGTTGGTTGTCTCCTGATATTTACTCATGCATACCTATATTAAATATGTATATAGAGTGTAGATGTCCTGCATATACATATGTATATGTTATGATACTTGGTTGGCAATTTTTTTTGACACTTTTTTTGCAAATTGCTGTCCCTTATTACTTATTTTCACTGAATATAGAAGAAATGGAGAAATGTGTTATCAAAGTTTTATTTTAAAAAGGAGACTTTTAATTATCTAAAGCCATTTGTAATAGTCTTTTGAATTTTTTACTAGAAGGGTTGTTATTTTAAAAAGCAAAAGAAAAAAAAAGAAAAAAAAAAAAACCAAAAGCAAGCAGACAAGCCCTTATTCCCACCATCGTTTAGGTGAAAGAAATGGAAACACAAGTTTCTAAGTGTTTATTTCCTTCAGGTGTTTCTGAGGCATACAGTAATTGCATTCTGCCCCATCCCCCTTTTGTCCAATTATAATTAATGATTCATGATTTTCTTTTTCCCTCAATACTTTCATAAATTATTGTTCACCTCCTACATTCAATAGTACTTATATCACTAAGGAGATTTCATGTCCTTCTGTCCTTTTTAGGAGAAATGCCAGTGCATCACTATTGTGTTTCATTTTAACATACTTTGTGGAGGATGGATGTTTTAATTGAAGATGTCTGTAACCCGTCTAACTTATTTAATGTGAGAAGCCTTCATTGGAATCTATCGTCTGTTTGTTTCCAACAAGTTCAAGTTTCTGCAACTGTTTTTTTCACCAACACGTTAAATAATTCCCTTCTTATTTTATGCCTGAGGTTTTAAAATTTGGGTTTGTTTTTTGGGGTTTTTTTCCCTCCAATTCCCAAAAATGTTTATCTACAAGTGGAGCAAAACAGATGTCAGAAGCTCAATCAATATCCTTTTTGCAGTTAAGGGTAAATATATTTATCCTAGACGTAATAAAAGAAGGTGGCAAATGGACAATCTGAAGTGCTTAGAGGGAATGCTCTCTCTTTTTAAGGCTGTCTCCGAGAAGTTTGTGTTTGGTGTCATTTTAAAGGTAGCTTGATCATGCTTTGATATCAGAAACAGCCTTGTAACAAAGAGCCTCATACACAGTTGTTCGGTCACTAGAGTTTAAAATGTAAACAAGTTGCAGTGGGAAAGCAAAGGTGAGGCAGTGTATTTTGAACCAGTGAATTGTAGCTTGCAAACGTACCTGATTTTGAAGTAACTGCATGGTAGCAAGGATTAGCAGTCTCTTACACCCCTTCCTTCTTCCCTCTCATCCCTGACACTTGTGTTCAGCATACCATACATTGGGAAAAATAAACAACTTCCTCCCGCAACGCTAATCTACTTAATGACTGCTTAAAGGGAACATACAAACGGGCACTGCCACGTCCCATCTCATGGTATTAGCTGGAAGACTGGCTAA